TCCGTGTGTATTTGGAGAAAGGCTGCGAGGAGCTTTGTTTTCATCCCTTATAGTGAGAGGACGCTTGGTCAGATCCACTTTGGCAGTTGGCATACGGTCTTTCCCGGTTTTTTTGGGGGGAAGCCTCTTACTGGGTCTTGAGAGAGAGAGAGGGGGGTTTAATTACAAACATGACCCCAACAGTCCCAGACTCTCTGCTTTGTGGCTTCTCTTTCACTGTATGATTTGTGTGGATTTATTGGAAAACACAAAGAGTTCCAGGAACTGCTAGCAAGCCAGGCTCATTTACGGTTTATACTAGGTACTGGATTCTGTTTCCTTGTTCAGCTCAAATTAGTCTGTCAAAGTCTTGGGCTTGTTAATGCCGGAATGGTGTTAAGACAAGCACTGGGAATGAGATTTTCATGACGCTGAACCTTTAGGACAGTGGAGCCAAGCTTATAGAATGGCAAAAATCGAGATGTAGACAAATTCTTCCAAACCAAAGTACTCACTTAGGACTTTCCAGAAGGTTAAAAATAACTACGCAAGTCAGGGATCAAGACTGTTTCACTTAATTAAAAAGTGGAAACAGTCTCACTGAAGTCTCAGAAATTGGTTTGCTAATCACCATTTCTGGGTAAATGAAGAAAAAGTGAGGAAGGGGGTTGAGATGCTTCGGTATCATCTAAGTTCTCGAGACCACACGTTTACGTGCTGCCACAGGAAGAAAGCTTCGGGTATAAGCGGAGTCATTCATTTATTCAACAAACATGAACTGAGCAACTACTGTGTGTCAAGGGTTAAGACCGAGGTTGCAGATACAGGAATAAAAGATATAGAGGGGCTTATGGCGCAGATTAAAAAATTAGTGTATGTGCTAGGATAGAACGGGACAATGAGAATGTAACCAAAGTGCCTAAGAAAATCTGGGATGGTGCTGCAGAGTCTAAGGTAATCTTGAGCTGGGGTTTGAGGGATGAAGAGGTGTTTGCTAGAGGGCCAGGGTGTGGGGTGCTGGGAAGAGAGGAAGCGTGTGGAAGAGGGCCAGGCACATGCATGGGTGTGGACGCAGAGGAAAGCGTGGTGTGTTTGCGGCCCAGCTTACATACGAGGACACAGGTTGGGGCGCTGGGAGTCCTCCCTGTTTTAATTGTGGGAATAGCTGTGACGTGGCATCGCAGGTGCAGGACGATGGGAGCATGGATCAGACCACGATCAGCTCTGAGACCCCATAAGTTTTGCCCAACAGTTGGTCATTGGGCCCGGAAGCATTTTAATGGGCCTGGGTTATAACCGGAGGGTCTGCGGGGGTCAGGCCCCCCGCATTTCCAGCCAGAGCCCTTTGGAGCAGCTTATCTGACCCTGTGCCCGCTCATCCTCCAGAATGAGGCCCATGAGACAAGCACAGTGTTTATAAAAAGGCTTAAAAGCATTATTATCTTTTCAAGGAATTCTATTCTATGTTTTGAACTTATCAAACGAAATATTATCAAAACGTACGGAGAATTATTTCTAATTTAGCCTTCACTTGTAGGGCTAGAAGCTGAGTACAGAGGGAAGAATGTTTTATTACTTAGGTGGAGTAGTCTTTAAAAAATATAATACATCAGTATAACCGTTTCCTTGTGCTTCACTTTATTGCGCTTCAGAGATGCTGCATTTTTTTTATAAATGGAAGGTTTGTGGCAACCGTGTGAGAGCAAGTCTATTGGTGCCACTTTTCCAACAGCATTTGCGCTCTTCATGTCTCTGTGTCACATTTCAGTAATTCTTGTAACATTTCAAGCTTTTTCATTACTATCATCATATTTGTTATGGTGATCTATGATCAATGATCTTTGATGTTATTATTACAACTCGCTGAAGGCTCAGATCATATCTATTTTTTAATTAAGCTATGTATGTTGTCTTTTTAGACATAATGCTACTGCATACTTAATACGCTATAATGTCGACGTAACTTTTATATGCACTGGGAAACCAAAACGTTCCTGTGACTTGCTTTATTGTGATATTCGCTTTATTGAAGTGGGCTGGACCCCAACCTGTGATATGTCTGAGGTCTGCTTGTACTTTTTTTTTTTTACATCTTTATTGGAGTATAATTGCTTTACAGTGTTGTGTTAGTTTCTGCTGTACAACCAAGTGAATCAGCCATATGTATACATATATCCATCCCCATATCCCCTCCCTCTTGAGCCTCCCTCCCACCCTCTCTATCCCAGTCCTCTATGTCATCACAAAGCACCGAGCTGATCTCCCTGTGCTATGCGGCTGCTTCCCACTAGCTATCTATTTTACATTTGGTAGTGTATATATGCCCATGCCACTCTCTCACTTCGTCCCAGCCTACCCTTCCCCACCGTGTCCTCAAGTCCGTTCTCTACATCTGCATCTTTATTCCTGCCCTGCCACTAGGTTCATCAGTACCATTTTTTTTTTAGATTCCATATATGTGTGTTTCTGCTTGTACTTTAAAAAGTAATATAGGCGGGCTTCCCTGGTGGCATGGTGGTTGAGAGTCCGCCTGCCGATGCAGGGGACACGGGTTCATGTCCCGGTCCGGGAAGATCCACATGCCGCGGAGCGGCTGGGCCCGTGAGCCATGGCCGCTGAGCCTGCGCGCCCGGAGCCTGTGCTCCGCAATGGGAGAGGCCACGACAGTGAAAGGCCCGCGTACCGCAAAAAAAAAAAAAGTAATATAGGCTTCCTGAAAAAGCAAAAGCGAAATAAAACTGTACAGAATTCCGTGGAATTAAGAAGTGCAAGTGTCCTTCCCTGGTCCAGTTAAGTAGCAGCTACTATTAACGAGTCTGGTATATGTTCTTTTAGAAATTATCTATGTGTACAGAAAAGTGTGTTTACTTTTTGTTTTGTTTTGAAATGTAAATGAAATAATTCTATGGACTCTTCCTAATATATTAAGAAGCACAAAAGCAACAAATGAATACTAAATCTGTGGGTTGCATTTCCCAATCACATTCAATTCCCAAGTACCCTGGAGAGGGTCTCTAAGCCCCTTCTAGGCCTGAACCTTGGCACAGTGAACGTTTCTGCAAACTCAGCAGTGGTGACGGTCAGGCCAACACCTACGACCCGGCTCCTGGACCTTGAACTGTTCTCTTTCTTCAGCATCTAGCACAGCGCCTTTCCCAGTCCAGGCACTTAATATGCATCTGTTAGTAACATGCAGTTAAATATCATATGGTTCATTAAATCAGCAGAACCCACAGATATTAAGGAACTAGGTACAATCACCCGAAGTATCCATTTGGTTGTCTGATTACCGAGATGCCTTCTCATCTTGAGACCTGAGCTTTTTTCCCTCTTTAAGGCGTTGGATAAGGGTTTACTTTAGAAAAATTGTATTTATTTATTTGGTCACATAGGCTCTTAGTTGCAGCACGTGGGCTCCTTAGTTGTGTCATGCAAACTCTTAATTGTGGCATGCAGGTGGGATCTGGTTCCCTGACCAGGGATCAAACCCGGGCCCGCTGCATTGGGGGCGCGGAGTCTTATCCACTGCACCACCAGTGAAGTCCCTGGATAAGGGTTTACCTGACTGAGCTCCTCTGGCTAAACGTCTCCCTGAAACCCAGCTACGAAGTTCAGAACAATGGAAGACAGCAGACAACATCAACCAAATGTTCTCTTAAACACGCATTGGTCTTCCAAATACACTAACAAAGTGGTGACCTACTTTCTCGCAGAAAGTCAGGAATCAGTTCCGTCTTCCTTTCTGCTTTCGAGTCCTAGCACTGACTGCCATTTGTTAAATGTCTTAAGCTTTAGTTTCTTCGTGTGAAACTGAAAAAGGATAATAAAGACCTATCTTTCTACAGTTAGTGGAAGAATTAAATGAGATGACCTTTGTGAAATTGTGAGTCCCTTCATGGAGTTGACAAAGCACGGTGACCACAGAGCCTCAGCTGGAACGCCAGCTCTACCACATATTAGCTGGATGACCCCGGGCCAATGACTCAACCTCTCACTAGGCCTGTTTCTTATCTATAACGTGGAAGAAGTAATTGGATTATTTTGAAGGTTTTAAGATCACGTATTTAGTATGGTCTTTGGCACTGACAATAACAGTTTAATATACATTTACCATTATTATTCCGAGTGTAGGTCTTTTTCTTTTTCTCTTTCTCCCCTTCGTTCTTCTCTTTGACCCATCTAAATAACCCAAAGCAAGATTCCAAAGCTCTGCTTTTTCTGGGTTAGGAAATGAGAAGCTGAAAGACTAAAAGTTGCATGTTGCTAGGGACTGAATTGTGTCCTCCCACAATTTGTGTGTTGAAGCCCTAATCCACAATGTGACTGTATTTGGAGACGGGGTCTTTAGGAGGTAATTAAGGTTAAGTGAGGTCATAATGGTGGGACCCTAACCCTATAAGACTGGTGGTCTTATAAGAAGAGGAAGAGAGAAACTTCTCTCTCCCTGCTACATGTGAGCAGTGAGGAGACGGCCATCCGCACACCAAGAAGCAAACTCTCTCCAGAAATCGACCCTGCTGCACCTTGATCTTATACTTCCAGCCACCAGAACTGTGAGAAAAAAATACATTTCTGGGGACTTTCCTGGTGGCGCAGTGGTTAAGACTGCGCTCCCAATGCAGGGGTCCCGGGCTTGATTCCTGGTCAGGGAACTAGATTCTGCGTGCATGCCGCAACTAAGAGTTTGCATGCTACAACTAAGGAGCCCGCCTGCTGCAACTAAGGAGCCCACATGCCACAACTAAGACCCAGTGCCACCAAATAAATAAATATTAAAAAGAAAAACTTCTGTTGTTTAAGCCACCCAGTCTCTGGTATTTTGCCATGGCAGCCTGAGCAGACTAAGATACCTGGTTCCCTTGAATCTTCAAACTGGCTTCTTGAAGTATTTATTTTTAACAAGTTTACTGACCCCCTCCTGTAGCATCTTCAAAGTAGGGGATATTGCTGAAGCTGCATGATCTTCGGGATATGTAAAAATTGTAATAAATTAAGCCAGAGTCTTCGTTTCTTATCAAAAGGATGCATGAGCCAACATGAAGAGGCCAAAGAGGAGACAACTGGAGTATCAAAGAACACAGTGACTTAAACTGAAAATCCGAACACGTGAACACAGAAGTTCCTAATGAAATAAAGCAGTGGCCTCCCCATCCAAGAAACAAACAAACAAACAATGGGTTACCATCGGAGGTATGTAAGGGATCAACTCCTATTCTGAAAACGGCGATCAAAGGGAAAGAATTAAGCATTTAGCCTGTCTTTTGGGATCAAAGTACCTATCAGGATAACTAAATAGCCCCAGTTGATAAAGTTCTGCTTTATAGAAGAATATATAGCTAATACATTTGGAACGCAGGAGACATTTAGAAAGTCACCGTTTTGCAACTTCTAGTTAATTAAGGACTCGTGAAAGCACCGCGTGAAAGGCTGATGTGAACTTTACAGTGAACGGGGCGGCCATTGCCACGTGATCTCACTAAGAGTGAGGTACACAGTACGTGTGACAGACAGTCACATGCGTGACTAAAAGTGAGACAGATAGTACATGTCCTGAAATGACGGAACAGGGAGTACACAGTGCAGCTTCCTGCCCCTGAAAGTTAGCGTTCATTTCCAGTTTGCAAGAAATATGGAGGATAGAGGAACTACTTACGTAAAACCACGAGGGAGCAGACAGACAAACCCTTCTGTACGACAACTGACTCAGGTTTTCAACAATCAGTGCAAGGTCGGGGCGGGGAGGGACACGCAGAATATCAACCAGGTATAATGTGTGCACTCTGTCTACATCCTGATTTGAACAAACCAACTGTGAAAAGACATTCATTTTTGAGCTACTTGGAGTAGCTCAAAATGGACTGGGTATTGGAGACATCAAGGAATTGCTGTTACTATTAATTTTGTTAGATGGATAATAATGACATTGTGGCTGCATGAAAAAAAGTCTATCTTCTTAAGAGATGTATCCCGAAGTACGTAGGGATAGAATAACCTGATGGTTGGGTTTTCTTTTTAAAATACTTCACACACAGGAGGGATAAATTGGGAGACTGGGATTGACACATACACACTACTATATATAAAACAGATAACTAATAAGGACCTACTGTAGAGCACGGGAAGTCTACTCAATACTCTGTAATGGCCTATACAGGAAAAGAATCTAAACAAGAGTGGATACATGTATATGTATAACTGAGTCACTTTGCTGTACACCTGAAACTAACACAACAGAGTAAATCAACTCTACTCCAATAAAATTTTTTAAAAAATATATAACAGCTAAGTTACAACTGCAAAAAAACCACAACTTCACACACAACAGATGTTATGTGGGGTTAGATGAAGTACGTATGGCAAAGGCTTGACAATCACTGGTCTCAGATTACAGGCATGTAGGGTTCGTAATACTGTTCTTTACACTTTTGACTCTTTTTTTTTGGCTGCGGCATATGGGATCTTAGTTCCCTGACCAGGGATCGAACCTGTGGCCGCTGCAATGGAAGCGCAGAGTCTTAACTTCCCTGAAATTTTTTATAATAATTTTTTTTAAAGATTCAAGAGAAGCAGCTATCTTAAGACAAAATCTGAACAGAAGTTGAAAAAATTCACTTGCACTACACTGTCACTTAAAAACAAACGTGAAACTATTTTCTGTAGACTTCTCAAGTAAGATGTTCTTATCCACCCACGTTATGTTTGTGTCTTTTCAGTGTACCACTGCATTTTTATTGCCAATGAATTTCCACTTGTTAAAAGATAAGTTTACCTGTTGTCAATAATCATTACGTTGGAGGGTGGAATCCCCAAAACATCACAGCTCTGCAAAAGTTCCTTCTTACGAGTCTCCCCTTGATTGTAGTAATTTCCTGAGGATAACAAATACACAGTTGTCGATTTCTTTATCAGTGGAGATCTATCGGTTCACTCATTCTTATCTCATCTTGTTCCCTATAGGATTTAAGCTACCTGAAAATTTTGTGGTGGTGATAAAAAGTTGAAGAAGACACAACGCTAGGGTTACTATCAGACACTCCTGTGAGAAGCCGTCTTTAGAATCACCTTTGAATTCTTCCCCATCTCTGTGTCTCTCCCTGTGTCTGTCCATCTGCCTGCCTGCCTATGTACCTTTCAGCCCCAAGCTACAGGCTTTGAGCACCTGCTTTGCAGTTAAACAGATTTAGGACTGACCCTTCTGTAACCACTCAGAACAAGTCAGGTATCTGGACACACTATTTGTTTGGGCCCCTTATTATTTAATCTTATTTATTTTTTAAATTATAGTTGATTTACAATGTTGTGTTAATTTCTGCTGTAGAGCAAAGTGACTCAGTTATACACATATATACATTCTTTTTAAAATATTCTTTTCTATTAAGGTTTATCACAGGATATTGAATACAGTTCCCTGTGCTATACAGTAGGACCTTGTTGTTTATCCATCCTACATATAATAGCTTGCATCTGCTTATCCCAAACTCCCTCCCCCACTCCCCTTCCCCTTGGCAACCACAAGTCTGTTCTCTTATGTCTGTGAGTCTGTTTCTGTTTTGTAGATAGAGTCATTTGTGCCATATTTTAGATTCCCTGTATAAGTGATATCATATGGTATTTGTTTCTCTTTCTGACTCACTTCACTTAGTATGATAATCTCTAGTTGCATCCATGTTGCTGCAAATGGCATTATTTCATTCTTTTTTATGGCTGAGTAGTATTCCGTAGTATATATAAACCACACTGTCTTTATCCATTCATCTGTCGATGGACATTTAGGTTGTTTCCATGTCTTGGCTATTGTGAACAGTGCTGCTGTGAACATAGGGGTGCATGTATCTTCTTGAATTATAGTTTTGTCCTGGTATATGTCGTTTGGTCCCCTGTAAATTGATAGTCTTCAAATATCTGTTAAGCACTTATTTAAAGAGGCTGCTACTCCTGAGTGTTACAGGAAAATAGCCTCCTTCAGAGTTTAGTAACCAGCTCTCCCAGCATGTCCCCGGGGATCTGGACCACATCAGCATCCCAGATAGCTTGCGAAGTCTTTATTTTCCCAACACAGACACTATACTTCCCAAGAATGGTTCTGTTAAGTAACGGCTCTGTATCCTTACAAATAACATACGGTGACGTTTTGGTATCACTTAAATTGCCCTTATGAGCAATTGTCTAGCTACTGGCCCCCTTAATTCAACCCTCCAGCAGATAACTGCATGTGTGCTTTGTGCTAGTTACTTAACTCTCCTGAGCCACGGTTCCTGTACCTGTGCAGTGGGGATGATGGACGTCTGTCTCCAAAGGCTTTCCTAAGGATTATATGATGAGACACATCTACCTAGTCAGGTGCTCAGTGTTTCTCTTCTCTTCCCTTGACTGCTTTCTCTTTCCCTTCCCCCTCCTCCTCTCCTTTCTTCCTGAATTATAATTCTCCCTCATCCAGATCAAATGCCATTCCCTCTGGGAAGCCTTCTGCTCTTTTCCCCGGCAAGCAGTCATTTCCAGTATTCTGCTCAGAAATGTGAACTTTCCTCCGTGATCTGATTATTAATGCCTAAATGTCACTGACCTGAAAAGCCACTCTGTATCATCCTGGTGTCAGCACACTGCAGGCACTCCAGAGGCCCCGAGCAGAGAGTGGCTCTGCTTACTGTTCCAGAAAACTCAGAAAGGAACTCCCAAGTGAAACCTTTCAACTTTGGCAGGGGTTACTCTAGGGCTAGTTTTGAACTGTTTGAACCCAGATAGGAGACAGTCATTACATTGTATCTGATAAAAGGACTAACCCCCAAAAGACTCCAGAAAATAGCTTAATTTTGTACTGTTCTCATCACAGATTTTTGAGTCAAATAGAAATTGTCAATTTTTGTGATGGTCATTATATTTTAGGTTCCCCTCTCCCATTTTATCTCAAGGTTACTTACCTTCAGTGATAAGTAAATAGTCTAACGTACACTAGTGATGGGCTTCCTAACCTCAGAGGCCGAGCATGTTAGACTCTGGTTACAGTTGTGAGAAACAGCTTAGAAGTGAGGCCAAGGTGTTTTTGGACCTGGTTTTATTGCTTTGTGTTTGAACTGAGGAACTTAGAACAAGTTAGGGAGTTGAAGTCAGAGAGCATTTTCAACATTTTCATTCACTCTGGTGAACGTGTAAGCACTTCAGTGGAGTAAGTGTCTGGGACCCTCCAGCAGCTCCTGACTGGCATTCTCTAGAACAGTGTCCCCTGGGTGCATGTGGGGTGCACAGGACCATCTGCTGGGGTGGAGGAAAGGTTTTGGAACTTCTCCTCCTAATTTGTTTACCTTGTCCTTTATACATGTCAACTTTCATTGTTTTAGACTGTACACATTAATTCAGTGGTCTAGCTACTTAATATAATTATAAATAAATATACATATAATGGGAGTATATGTTCAAAAGCTTTTACCAATAGGAAAATGTGACCCAAAAAAAGCTTGGAGATCATTATTCTAGAAGGCAGAAAACAAATGGGATTAATGTAGATTTATTTATATAGAACTACATTGTGTGTGTGTGTGTGTGTGTGTGTGTGTGTGTATGTGTAACTAATACTTAGTAATAACTAGCAAACATAATGACATTTAATAGAAATTAAATTCACTTTGTAAAAGACCCACATTTACACAGCACAATGTATAAAGGTAGACATTTGTTTTACCTTAAAAATTCATTTGTTTATTCTAAATAGGTAAAAAGACTTACATGGTTAAAAATACAAAGAAACAAGACCGTATAGATATTTTTTAAAAAGCCCCTCTCCCACTCCTCTAGTTACCCATTTTCCTACCCTGGAAGTTTTAATTTGTTAGAATGAGAAGTGGTTTGAGACTCAAGGCATCGTGGACCCAATACCTGGCCTTCCACTAACTTTGTGAACCTGAAGAGATTCTTTAAGTTCCTGGGTTTCAGGAATGCTAGCAAGGGTTTTCCTTGAACATGACTAAGCTAATTCTAAAATGTACTGGGAAGAAAAAAAGGTCCACATTTCCTCAACTATAAAATGGGGGAGTTTAGGTTCTCTACCACTTAGGGTCTACCCAGGAAAACAGAAACCATATCAAATATTTACATCAGTAAGAATTTAATAAAAAGAATTTGAAACGTAGCTGATGGAGGAATTGAGGGCCAAAGAGGGAAGAGTGAGAGACCTAGAGTGTAGGGATGGAGGAAGTAACTACCAGCCCTAGGCTGGAGAGGTAAGAGGAGGCAATATCACTCAAGCCCAAACCGGGTTCCCCAGGAGCTGAAACCCAAAGAGCTGGCCACCTTCCGTTAGAAGGTGTCCACAGAGCCCAGCTGGAGAACTCACGATGTGCGTATGTGTGTGTGTGTATACACACACACAGGGGAAGGATCATGCCCCTCTGATGAGCAATTTGAAAGATGGAAGCAGCAAGAGGAGAGGGGCCCAAGAGGCTGGATTTGCGAGGATCTCTCTCTCGAGCTGAAGACAGACGGATAAATCCTGTCTAAGCCGAGTGAACAGGCATGGGGGCTCTAGACCACTCACCCGTTTGGTTCATCGAATACCAAGACTCTCCTAGACTCGGCCAAGGGTTTGTGACCGCGCGGGGCGCCAGTGGGGACTCTCAGAAAGAAATAGGAAAGAGGAGGAAAAGGGGGCAGGGCCTGGGTTGGTGGCATACTGGGGAGTGCCCTCCATGTGCGGGCCATGTCATAAACAGTTTGATAACATTTTTTTCTATCCTTTTAGTCCTCTGGCTTTCTCGCCCAGCTTTCGATATTTTCGAGATATAGATACACAGATACATATATTTTTTACAAAATAGGGCCAGAGATATGTAACCTTTGAGTCCTGTTCTGAAGTTTCTATCACTCTCTTAAACATAATTCATATTTATCTTGTTTATTTTATTTTTTTGGCTGTGCCACGCGGCAAAAAAACCTTAGTTCCCCAACCAGGATCTTAGTTCCCCAACCAGGGATCAAACCTGTGCGCCTTGCAGTGGAAGTGCAGAGTCCTAACCACTGGATCGCCAGGGAAGTTCCCCTAATTCATATTTTAAATATTACTAATTTATCCCATTCTTAATAAGATGCAGTCAATCTTAAGATCATATATTTTTAGAAATCCCAAATGTATTGAGTTAGAAAGAAAAGAGTAAAATAGATGAGACTAACACTTTTGAGCCTGGATCTAAATTTATGTCAATAAGGAAAATTCTGAATAATTATTCATGATTAAAAAGCAACAGTGAGGGACATCCCTGGTGGCACAGTGGTTAGGAATCCACCTGCCAATGCAGGGGACACAGGTTCAAGCCCTGGTCTGGGAAGATCCCACATGCCTAGGAGCAACTAAGCCCGTGCACCACAACTACCGAGCCTGCGCTCTAGAGCCCGTGAGCCACAACTACTGAGCCCGCGTGCCACAACTACTGAAGCCCACACGCCTAGAGCCCGTGCTCTGCAACAAGAGAAGCCCGCGCACTGTAATGAAGAGTAGCCCCCACTTGCTGCAATTAGAGAAAGCCCGCGCGCAGCAACGAAGACCTAGCGCACCAAAAACGACAAAAAAAACAAAAAACAAATCGGGGGAAAAAAAAGCAATAGTGAAAATAACCTTGTAAGTTCTGTTTTAGGAAATATGGTGAGTCAGATGTCTGGAGAAACCCCCATAGAATACCTGAACATGTGAAATAAAAGGCAAGCATGTTTTAGAATGTATGGCTGAGCTGGCAGGAAAGTAAGGGCTGTCTTTGGAGGTCATAAACAGTAGGTAAGCACAAATCCAGATAGGTAGGGTGCAGCTGAAGCCAGGTCAGCTGGTGGCCTGAAGTTGGGCCAGGAGATAAAACTTGGGCACGAATAAGGAAACCTCCACACAAAG